AAGAACGCCGTTAAATAAGCCGCTTTCGAGTGATATTTCGTGTCGAACCGGTCGGTGCATGCGGTGCCGGTAACAACGTTACGTATATTTGAGCTGCTACGCAAGATGGGCTTCTCGTACGAGACACACCGGGTGTACCAAGCGGCGACGAGGAACGATAATAGAGAAATGGGCAGCAAAAAAAAAAGCATTTCGACTTTCTTGCCAATTAAAGCAACAAATACAATTGACAGTAATCCAGATGTAAACAACGAGACCGGCAATCAGTCTCTAAAGCGAAATCATACGCTGTGACGTCACGCGATCTTTCCGGTAGTATTGTTTTTTTCTAGCATTACAAAAAAAATTACTGTAACTGATTGCACATTTAATGCCGAGCATTGGCGGGGAAAGGGATAAACGGATTCGCGAGAGTTTAGCCGTGCCCTTAATTGGGCGCGCGCCGGCTCTCCGCGGGTGGACGTGGATAAATGGCTCTAGCGGATACTAAATCTGCAATAAATAAAATGAAGCCCCGACTGTAAATAGTAACGACACTCATTTGTTTTTTGTCTACGACCCAGACACGTTCGAACGCGCCCCCCCCTTTACGGGATGCATTTAATTGAGAGCCGTGTCGGATCGTTATACTGTTTACTCCACCATTATAACGTTTCGCCTTTGTTGCTAAAAAACGAATTTAGTTGTTTTTAACTTACAGAACTTGGAATATATGACCTATAATGACTTATAAGTAACTGATATTAAATGATATAGATGCTGCAAAAGACAGCTTCAGAAGTGTTTGTACTATCAATATAAGGCGTCTTATCTGATAACTAGAAATAAATTTCGATCAGTCCACCCCAAGAAATTCTTATTTGATTGGCATATCATAACATCTTCTTCTCTTCTTATTCTTTCTATAAGGCTTTTGCCTTGTACTCTGTAGTCAGGCACGTAGAATATGAGCTCCAGCTCTCATGCCATTGTATGGGAGGACGTCCAGGATCTTGGGAGACCATCTCTTGCAATTTTCGGCAGCCTGTGATCATCCATCCGTTCAACATGACTCTCTATATTCGCGCCTTCTGTTTCGGGACGATCGTACAATATCAAGGACACCGCAAAGTTCTCTGATATCTTCGCTTCTTTTGTGGTCCCTCAGCCTGTTATAGATCGTAGAGTTCTCATCCCTGCTCTTCGGATGATTCTTTTTGTTGCCGAGTTTTCCGCAATTGTTTCTACAGCGTATGTCATAACCGATCCCACACGAGTTTTCCTTTCTATGGTCCTATATTTGTTTAGTCGTATTACATCTCCCAGGTACCCTGCTTATAGAACTCTCTTGGTTATTGGAGATCTCTGCTGCTCGTAACGCTGACGCCGAGACAATTAAAACTCATGACCTGCTCTACAGGTTCATTGTATATGGGAAATTTACATCTTCTGGGCTCTTTTGATATCCATCTTGTACTTGGAGGCGATGTTTTCGAACTTAAAGAGCATTCTCTGCAGGTTGTCTTCATCTTCCGATGTAAACACCGCATTTCATTGTCCCCTAGTCGGCATCTTTCCAATATTCTTCACTTCAGATATTAGTTCATTCATAATCAAATTAAAAAGGATAGGTCTTAGGCTGTAGCCTTGTCTTATTCCTGTCTGCATGGGTATTTTGCGTGTTTTTCTGCTCTCCACTTGTATTTGGGTCATATTGTCGGTATTTAACTCAACCACGATCTTTATTAAATGACAAATGAAGATTTTCTAAGATCTCTTAACAAATCACGTGAGGAAAACGTAAGCAAAAATTGATGTTGAATTCATATTTATTTATTTTATTTTATTATTTATTTATATTAATTAATACACACCGGAAGGAAGAGAGATGCAATGTTATCGCTATATACATTGCATTGGAAGAAGGTCTGCTGTTGATATAATCTTATGAATGTTTTATTCGAGCCCCTGAAAGTTATACGAAACCTTCGCCTGAGTGCAGCGATGCACTTAAATTAGACTCGTCCCCTTAAAACCCCAATCGCAACTGCCGTTTGGGAAACAATGATTTTGCGAGGCTCCTAATTTAATCCGTGCCGATACTATACGCGTTTACATTTACGGGCAAACCTAGTTGGTATGCAACGGATCGGAAATTTGGGACGTCGTCGCCGACCCGCCCCGGGGACGGTCGATCCGTTCATTATGCAAAACGTCGGGTCCGAGCGCGAAATCCTAACGTAGAGTTTTAATTAACCCGTTCGTAAAACAAAGAAACAAGGCGGGCGCCCGCGTAAAATCCGCAACTTCACGTTTTGAAATTCCATTATACTTCGTCTATTTAAACCCCGTGGGCATTCGCCGAGACGTGGAGGTTTGGGAAGGACAGAGCAGGATTTCCGACATGCTCAAAAGGTCCCAAACGTTCAAAAAATACCCATTAATCCTTCATGAACTGTTTCAGTGGCGCATGACTTAACACAGACTGGCAAACCGCACCGAGAAATTCCGAAAAATTTCAGAGTAATTAAAAGGAATTCCAGAAGAATTCGGACAGGAATTGCGGTGTCCATCTGCCCTCTGCGGTTTACTCTTTGCTTAACACTAATTTTAATGAGACAATACTATGAATCTGTATCTATCTATCAAAATTAGAGGTGACCAATGACAAGCTGTGGTCACATTAAGATGTAGAATTCAGGTTATTGCTGGACATTCCTAATTTTCTACTTCTCCCATCAAGTTCGAGCCTTCAAGCTCCAAGATATCAGTCTCTAGTTTTAAGTAGGCGGACCTCGATACCACTTAAGCACATCCTGCTGCACATACTTCGCCCATCAAGTTCAACCCTTCTCTGGAGTCTGTTATTTTATGTCGAGAAGTGGCCTTCAAGCTTCAAGGATATCAGTCTCTAGTTTTCAGTATCACCCTTTCCTCACCCACCATGCACACCTTTGGGTTTTCCATTCAAAAAGACTTTATCTAAGGATCAGGGTCTGGATTGATGGCAACTGATGGTGGATTAGTTTTATGGTATATCATATCACGGCCTCATCCCGAACGACGCAGAAAAGGGGCAACAATAGATTCGGAGCGTGTGAAGTTCTTTGTTAAATTTTAAAATAGACTGAATGTGCAAGAGCTGTCTTTGCAAATCTCGTAGACAACAACCGACGTAAACGAATGGACCATTCAAGCTGGATCCGTTCCTGCGGATCGTGACGTCAGCAAAGCAATTCACGGCGGATACAATGGCTCGAGATGGCGACAAAAGAAAATGGAAACCACACGTATACTCCCTTAAGCCTGGCGGAGATAATGAAGGGAGCGTTAGGGTTTTATGTAGTTGGAAAGTATCTATTATTTCAGTTTCCAATTGTTGTTTTGCAGTAGCAAATAAGTAATTTCGCGAAGTGGGTCAGAGAGGACAATATATAGAACAGCGCGTACTTGAGAAATACATGATGACATCACATGCCAGTAAACAAGGAGTTTGATTCATCTCTTTAGGCGTCCAAAACTATCCAACCTTGATAAAGTAACAGTTATTTAAAGGAAATTATGAAAACAATTATTTGATTCATTTAGTACTAGAAAGTGAATTTCAAACAGACCATTTATGACCTGTGCCGTTATCTCTTAACTTCATGGAGGAATCGCCGAATCGTTAATCACAATATTTTTATTAATACTATTTTCTGAAGATGTTAACTTTCTGGGACACAAAAACTAGCATTCTAATCCCTCCTAATTAAGAATAATAATAGTATCATGGAGTTACGTCAATAAATAATACTCAAACGAAGGAGATACCTTGAAATGCAACAAGTGAACACGCCGAACCTACCTTAACTTGGAAATCATAACTGACAGGTCATGTAGTACAGACCTGTACACAAGCTAAGATGAGTCAGCGAATAAAGAATGGACAGGGAACGAAGTTAGTTAACGAAGGTAATGTTCAGTGAATACGGAGATAATTTGTGACTATATGATGACATAGAGTTTGGCTGATGCCACGTGCGACAATGTAGGAAATAAAATAAGATGATTAATTAAGTTATTTCTTTATCGGGCACCTTTTATATAAAGAAATCAGAATTTATACCACATTGAAGATAAATAATAACGGAAAACGTGCGACATATTTTTTTTAACTGCCTTAATTATAAAAAACTGGAAGACACCTCATGATTTAAAAGTCTACATGCCCAATAGAATGTGAATTGGGAGGGGATAAAACTAAATGTGCTAAAATTAAAAAAAAAAATTATTCTTTTCTGAGAAACAGTTTAAACAAACCATCAACATTGTTTTTCATTGAAGCATATAGTTGCAAAAAAAAATGTTCCACATCATCACATCTGTGATAAAATGCCAAGCAAAAACGTTTTGAAGACTTTTTAAATCCTCAATTTAGGAAAGCTACCTAGCTTAGCTTAGCTATTTAGAAGAAATGCAAAAAAATTATACATAATACATATGATATAAAATAATAATAAAATATAATATTAAAATAAAATATAAAAACATAAATACATAAAATGAAAAATATAAAAAAAATTAAATAATAAAAAATGACAAGAACGTATTCAAATGAAGTTTTAAACATCATCAGTCATTTGTTATTTTTTATAGACATTTTTAGGAGCACTGTTTTTCCGATTTAATTCGACAACACGTCATTTGCGTTGACTATAACCAACAAACAAAGGAACACAGCTGGTCGACGGTAGAATTTTAGAAATTTTATCAATTTCTTGTTAGGTCTCAATGTCATTGATCGATAGAGTTTAAGATTCTTCAAAACACACACGTAAAAGAACAAGTCGGTATAACACATAAATCGTAATACTTGAAATTGTTTGTTTGTTTGAGATATCTCCAAGAACGGATAAGTAAATATAAAGCAAAGAAGAACTTTTTTTAATATGACTGACGATGAAGGGACTAAAATATGTAGGGTTCGCGACCAAGAATACATGCTTGTTACTTCGTATACCACTTCGACTTCGACTTACCATAAAAATCAACCGAACTAGATGCCGTTCCGGCCGTACCTGGAAACAAAAGAAAGGCGTCAATTTAAAAAAAGAACCTAAAAGTCCGGAACTTAAATTCTGGCCGCTCAATTTTCAAATGGAAATTTCGCGTCGTCATTAGGAGGAAGAGGAGAAATGCCCGGGAAATGTCGCCTGGCATTTATCCCGTCCGAAATTAGATTCTTCTTGCTTTTGCCGATGGCAATTTTTCTGCGGAAAGTGCCCCGACGTCCCTTTGTGCATTTTTTTTAATGGAAAGAATGGAAGAGAAGTTAATTTAAGGCCATTGTTGTCGCGGGACGGAAGTCTCCCATAAGATATTATTTATCGAGAAAATTGGAAATAAAATTGAAGTGACGCTTCCCGCACGCCAGATCGGTGTGTAATTAGCTATTTTACAGACGGGAGTAGAGGACATTACTTGATCCATCTGTGATAAAATGTACTTCAGTATGAGTCCACGATAATAGAATTTCACATTCTGTATGATACCCTGAACTAGGGGTTGTAATTTTACCTCATGGGGGTGCGATGCTGTAGGGCCATTTTTCTATCAAATTATAAAAACCATTCAGTCATAATATCTCGTGTCATCTATGCTTTCTTGTTAAATTTCCATATTGCCGATAAATTTTTAATTCAATGCCCTAGGTTGGGCAGCCTTTTCAATCACAAGCAAATATTCTTTTTGTACTGCCATATTAACACAAAATAAATGAAAGTGTTTTGTTAGGTAAGAATCGAAAGAAAAGGTCAGTGTCACGGGCCTTGTAAACATGGTGTGGCTGATATCCGAGGAGTATCTTTAAACTGATTTACGTCTTCTGACTCACATCTGCTGATTCTCCGGAAATACACTTATCGCATGTTTCTGGCGCCACTTTTCCAGCCATTGGAAGCTTTAAAATTTCCAAAAAATTGGGTTTTTCGGCTATTTCTTAAGCCTTGGCCTTTACTAAGTACCCCGATATTGGAATGTTTCGACCCCGCAGCCGAGAAAACCAAACAAAACATACTTTGTCAATTTGAAGTCTCTCAGTTTTTACAAAATTTCGTTTTTGATCAATATTGCTTCCCCACTCCCACTGTAAAGAAAGGCTGTCCTTATTTTTCACAATTTCCGCCGCTTGAGTTTTCCCGATTTTAATTTTTTCTGCGAGTTTCAGCACTTCTTCACTTCAGCGTTTTCCGAAATGTTAACAATTTCCATTTTTTCTCGCAAAATAAGAAGTTTTTTGGTAGGCGCCATTTTAAAATAAATAATAATACGACATGATATGCAAAATAAAAAAGGTAATTCAGCTATAGGATTAGGAAAAAGGTAACCGCCCATATTTTACCATTGCGTTGTTCTGTTATTGGAGGTTCGCGTCCGTTTAAGTCAGGACAGTGTTGTCCGCGTCCGTTTAATCGAGTGTCCGGTTAAAAGAGAAAAAAATCATATCCGTTTAACAAGGAGCGTCAACTTTTTGGTCTCTCTGGTATTTTTTTATATTTTCACAGAGATAATGTGTCATCCCATAATAAACGGGACACCGGATGCATGCCAACAGCGACTTGAGACTGCTTCAGTTGCATTTGGGTTATCGTATATCGATTGACGCAGCAAAGTGGCAAAAGTTTGTTCGATAACGAAGCCGCGTACGCCGGCCTGGTAACTAGCAAACACATACGATGGCGATGCATATATGCATGAGGGAGCCGTTTCGGCTTTGAAGCAAATTTTCTCAGTACGACCCGGAGGAAATTATCCCTAATGAAATGAGAGGCAAAACGCGTGGTCTAATGAAACGATTTTTTGTATTGATTTTCCTTTTTCAGACCCCGTACATTGTTGATTAAACGGTGTTACTGTATTATTAGCTTCTCGAGAGTCTTATGGTTCAAGAATGTCTTCACACCCAAAAAAATTTATCGAATTTGTGAGGAAAATTCTTCAAGACATCCGATCTCGTTCATTTTCAATAGGTTCTATCTGCGGAAGGAGGTTCAACGTCCGGCGTCTAACCCAACCAACCAAACGCATCCCTTACCCGCCAAAAGAAAAGCAGTAATAGCAGTGCACAATAATTTATTTTATTATTATTATTGCCTTACGATCTGTGCAGAATACAGTATAATTCACATAAAATGTGAATTTATTTTATGTTCAACAAAAAAAAAGTATTTTTTCTTTAGTGATCTGCGATAACATCAAGGCCTGAATAATGTATTGGCACATTGTGGAATACACGCGCCTGGCACATGCTTTTCTACGGATAATTGTCAATTATAGGACTGAATCTTTATTGATTTTTAATAAATATTAAATAAGAAACAATATCTCTTATTAAAGTAGAGAAATTTGCAGCCAGCGACTGCTTGCAGCCGAGTAAACAAGCCGATGTAGTGGTGATCAATTGATTAAGAAATCATTTGTAGTCGTGGACAATTCCCATGATGTAAACGCGTCTTGTCAAAAAGACTTGGCATTCGTGTAGCAGTCCCCGGGGAGGTATTTAGGTGTGCTTGTCTCGATGTTCTCAGAGGCAATACAGCTGTGCCGTAGGGGGCATTTATTATTATACCAACAGTAATTTAAGTGTTGCCCTACACTCCCTTGATAAATGTAGAGTATCTTAGGCAGATCGCAATATCATAAATTGCCAAAAACATTTCAGAGCAAAAGCGATAATAACAAACTATCGAGAGCATTACATAGAGTATAAAACTTTTGAGCACGGCATTGCGTCGGTAAATAAAATGGCATTCAACATGCAGCGTCAAGTGTGAAACCGACCTTCAACTCTATACTGGCCTTAATGTCCATATAAGGCCGCCGATGACTTAATCGCAGTAACGTTGAATCCGTAACCATAAAAGAACTCGTTTTTGATAAAAGAAAAACATCCAGTAAAGGAATTGAATAACGTATCGCTTCGTATTTCGCACTTTCAAGCACTGGATTGGAAAGTTCGATCACCCTCGCGTTGCCTAATATCCGATTAATCGATGAAAAGCGTTTTTCGGCACCCAAACCGCGAATTGAGGTCCCGTGCGGTTCCGCAACCGCAACGCCTCCACTAAAAGCTCCCCCGACGTCATTTGATGCGGTAGGATCAAACCGCCGATATCAGCCCGATAAGAGTTAATATACCGCAGCGGGTACCACGCTTAAAGAATTTGTTTATTGAAGGAAACCTTTCACTTTTAAAGAGATAGTGTTTACGAAAGTATCGTAGTACGGGGTCCGATCAATTTGCTGACATATCCCACATAAAAGTGACCTAATTTTATGATAATTACACGGCCTATCAATTAGTTCTCCGCTTCCGGTCGGTTCAATAATATTTCGTTAACGCAAAAAGAAAATAATCGATAAAAAATGTCTGGTTAACTATAGACACCTTAGAGTATTCACAATTCTTGCTTCAGTGGATTAAGGCGATTGATATCTGTATTGATAAGAAATAAGCATCTTGCCCGTGCACATTAAGCTGGGGCTGAAAGCTTTAAATTTGCGATGTGCCCTTCATGTAAATTTCCTAGGATTAGCACGGAAAAACGAAAGGCTGGTATCAAATATTGGTATTAATAGTTAAATTAAAATTTTAAAATATAAAATGATAAACATAACCTATCTCGAAAGCTAGATCTGCAACAGTTAAAATATCACAGACACCTAAAAATCCGCGTAAATCTTTATAATTTATCGAAACTGTTATGATTCTTCCAACACGACAACCGACCACGCCAGACCGGTAACTTTCAGTTGTTCACAAAAATGTTTGACTCATTAAAAGCTTGTAAATATCGCGGTAGGTTGTTGGTTGTGGTGCAGGTTGAAACAAAGATTTTATTATTAAGTTAAAATTATATATTTCCCCACAGGCCCATTCGGTCCTTAATAAATAAATTATTACTAAATAAAAAATTACTTTCATTATCCGCAGGGCATATGGGAAACTGGTCTCTCCTCTTATATTATTATCGATCAACCACATTACCAATATCCTGAATTTTTTCTTCTTCTTTGATAACGTGACTAGTCAGTTCTCTGTGATCACTTCCATAATGACTATGGACCTCCCCAACACTTTTAGGTGAAAGGTATCACCATGTAACTTATTCTAATTTATTAAAACAGCCACGAAATAAACAAAACTTCATTTTACATAATTGAATAATTATTATGTGTTGTTAACGCTCAATCCACAGGCAGCATGTCACTCACGATAGCGGGTGACCATGAAAAAGCTATAACAATTAAACTGTTTATATAAAAGATATCAGATGCAGTTTTCAGTGATATTGTTAGATTTGCTTCAAGTTTTCGCTTAAGGCATTCTGAAGCGTCAATAAACTCTTTTTTTTTGTAAAAATAAATCAAATCTTCGACCTGATTATTCAAAACTCGGCTTTACGGACTATTAATCGAATGGAGTTCTATAGTGTGAAACTGTGAGTAATAGTTAAATAAGACAGAATCTGAATACTTGTGGCTCATTTGTAAAGGTATGTATATATATGGTATATATTTTTGATCTTGGGAGTTCGCAAAAATGAATATTTTATAAACGATAAAAAATGAGCAGATTAATCTTTATTAGGACGAGCCGATAAAAAAGTGGGTACATAGGTTTTTTTACCAGCTCCTGGCTTTTGCTGCATAGTCCTCATATCTGATACAATTCCGTATCTATAATTAAAGATACGTAAACTATAATTAAAGATAAGTAAACGTAAATTTGCTGCCGATGTAGAATATTCTAACACACACGACACAGCCCGAGTCACTGAACCCAGAATTAAAACGCATTACCTCTGCTCTTCTCTCTAATAATTTCCACATTAAAGAGCAAAAAAGCAATTCTACACTGTGGTCCTTCCTTATATTCAAAATATCACTGACCACATATCACAAGTAAAGTAAAGTAAAGGAGAAGAAGTATAAAGCCAAAACCAGATTTGCCACTTGTCCAAAAATATCTCAACATCTCCGGTCCGTCAAAGATAAAATTCCATTTGAGATGATACGA